TCATTGAGGACAATGGCCTGCCGATGCTATTAGCTGTCTGTGGATCTGCCTTTTTAAATAACCGAGCTAGGTCCCGAATTCTGGTCTCAAAGCCAGTGGGAGCTTTGGCTGAATAAGGAGCAGCTGGCCCCAGAAGAACGTTGTAACCTTGTTCCGATGGTGCAGCCGTGTCAACGTTGCTCGGAATTCTTGTGTCTCAACATTCCGCCCTCCTTTACAGGCCATTACGGACTCTTCTCGGCCAATCAGGCGATGACCTTTAAAGGTCTGCGATATGAATTACATTATCATCTTGCTGCAAGGGTTACTTCTGTCTTGGCTTTCAGCTTGCCTGGGGACTCTTGTTACGTCTCTCCTCTATATGGCCCCGTCTGGTGTTCCAGCCCGGCTGCTCCCCGGGCTGAGCGAGGGAGGCCAGCATGCATCGGAAAGGAAAGCGAGATGGCAAAGCAGCCCGGGTCCGTTCCCGGCTCTGCAACGCCGCTTCTCACGCAGCTGAGTCCGTGGGAGGGCTGGCTGAGAACTGAAGAGCAAGATGGCTCCTGAGGAGCTGGGCGAAGCTGGTTCCAAAAGCGAAAGGCGAGGGGAGGGGCCCGGCCGCAATTTTCAGCCCTTCTGCCCACCTTTGAATCGGTGGCTTGGTTATGGGCACGAAAGAGCCATGCGCAGAATACAAAGGGTCGCCCAGTGGGTGAAGCAGGAAGTGGGTTGTGAGGGTGGGGCATGCCGAGCCCACAGACACGTTCCTCGGCCTCTCTGGGAGGGAGAGGCCCATAACATGGAACCCCACTGCTGAGGCACCGTTCCCTGAGCCCTGCAGGCACTGAGCTAGCCTGCTGGTCCCCTTCCCTGGCTCAGCTCAGCAGCTCCTTCAGATGCCCGGAGACGGGCACAGGCCTCTGCTCAGATGGCCCCGTGAGGGAAGCAGGTCAGTTGGGGAGGCACGAGGACAGGCCTAGAAAATCAGGGTGATACATTGGTGGGGCCTCTCCTGAGTTCACCTCACCAAGGTGTGGCAGTGGGGCAGCCAGCTATACGGGCAGAGCCCCTACCAAAGGCCTGCTGGGTTTTTGAAGGAGTGCTGGACACCTGCGTGGCCCTGGGCCAATCCCTTCCCTTCTCTGCCCTTCGTCCTGGTCTGTCTTGTCGCGGTCTTGGCAAACGTCTTGGGGACAGAGCCATGCCCAGGGCAGCCAAGCCTCAGCTCCTTGGGTAGGGAAGAGCTGGGTGGGTTTCACACAGTGACTTGTTTATACGACTCTCTAGACCATGCACTGAAATGCAAGTGCCCTAGTTATATGCCAATTCTCTTTTTTACAACTGAATGTAAAAAAAATCAGAGTTGGCCAGTGATGTTAAATATCGGTTAATTGAATAGTTGATTAACCTCATGAATTCTTATTGGTTACTTGACTATTCTATAATGCCCAGGGGCGGGGCCGGCAGCCATTGCGCTCCAGCCCCACTCCCGAGGAGCCCCCTGCCATTCCGTGCTGCTGCCTCTGATACAGAGGCAGCAGTGCAGGGTATCAGGCAGGAACTGGCCCACGAGGGGAGCTGGTTTAAAAACAGCCCCCCTCACAGACTGGCTGCCTGTTGCCCCTCCTCCCCCGCTGCTGCTTCTGATAGAGGCGTAAGCTGGAATTGAGCCAGGCTGCCCGCCCGCCTGGCTCCTAATACACTTTAAATGCAGAGCCACAGCAGGGGTAGGTCCCAGACCCAGCGTGAACCAGGACTGAGCCGGGCTGCTGGCCAGTCTGCTAAACAATTTACTGGCGGAGGATGGGGGGCTGCGTGTAGTCTATAGCATTAACCTATACGCTTTTGCTTATCGGTTACTCGACTCCACTTCCATCCCTGGAGTCGGCACACTGCCAGGAAGAGCCTGCTTTGGGAGTTTGATGTCTGATTTTTGCAAGTGAGGTGACAGAGGGTGCTCAAGACAAATCAGAATGCTGCTAGGGATACAATCGCCTGGAAAGGTTGAGAGCACTGGCCCAAGGCATCCAAGCTGGGTCTAGCTGGCCGGGCTCCTGGTTCCTAGGCTGGTGCCTTACCCATGGACTGTTCTGCCCCCTGGTCAGGGGCAGTGCATGGCTCTCGGAGCCTGTGGGAAAGGCTGGGTCCAACTCTGCTGTGCTGTCGATCCTGTCTCCCCCATGGCAGGCGCTGGTGTCCCACGTGTGCTCAGTCCGATGAATGGGGAGCAGGTGCATCTCCGGCCCATTGTTAATTCCTCTGCCTTTTCCTCTGTCCCCTCGCTCAGAGATGCCCTGTATCCAAATGCAGCATGGGACTTTGCCTCAGAGCGGAGGGCCCTGTGAGTGCTACCCGGCCGACTTCCTGATTCCCGAGCTCAGCAAGTTCACGATGGACCTCGTCAACACCGAGATCGCGGCCACCGCCTCCCTGCCCAGCTTCAGCACCTTCATGGACAACTACAGCGGGGAGTTCGACGCCTTCTTGTACCAGATCCCGGCCTCCAGCCAACCCGCCTCCTTCAAACTCGAGGACTTTCAGGTGTACGGCTGCTACCCCGGCTCCTTCAGCAGTCAGCTGGACGAGACCATGTCTTCAAGCGGCTCGGACTACTACGGCAGCCCTTGCTCCATCCCGTCCCCATCCACCCCGGGCTTCCAGGCCCCGCAGGTCCCGGCGTGGGAGAACTCCTTTGGGGCCTACTCGCCCACTCAGAACTACGAGGGCATGAGGCCCTGGGCGGAGCAGCAGAAAAGCAACTCTTCCCAGCCGTCCTTCTTCTCCTTCGGCCCTTCGGTCCCCAGCCCCGGGGTCTCCCAGAGCCCCCTCAAGGTGCAGCCGGCCACCGCACACCGGCTGGACACCGAGGTCTTCGCACTTTCCCAGAACTCCCCGGTGGGCTTCTCCGGCCTGTCCCTGGGCCAGGCCTCCCCGCTCCTGGAGAGCCCCCCCTTCATGGACGGCTCCCTGTCGCCAGCCAAGACGCGCAGCCCCGGCGCCAACGAGGGGCGCTGTGCCGTGTGTGGGGACAACGCCTCCTGCCAGCACTACGGCGTCCGCACCTGCGAGGGCTGCAAGGGTTTTTTCAAGGTAGGGGACCCAGGGGAGAGCCAGGGCAGTGCCTGGGGACCCTCAGAACCAACAGCCTCCCTCGCTAGCGGGCCAGGAGCCTCCCCGCTCCACCCCCAGCGCTCGGCCAGTCTTGCTCCCAGAGGAATCTGGGACTTGGGGGGGTTCCCTGGGAGAGCCCCGATGTGACCGGGCCTGCGGCGCGACAGAGTCTGTGCGTCTCCTCTTGGCTGCCCTGCGTGGGACGAGCTCTGAGTGGGCTCAGGGTGTGTGCGGCTCACCCACAGGGGGGGGGGCTGGGCGGCGCCGTAAGGTGCCTGTGGGCTAGGTCCTGGGTGGTCTGGGGGCATGGGCGACGCGCTGCGCAACCCGTCGCCCCCAGGCCGGCAGTTCAGAGGGTCAGGCGGTTCCCTCCTGGTGGCCGGGCTGGGCCAGGGGCCTGCGTGCCGTGGGCCCGGTGCCACCTCGTGCCTCTGCAAACTGTGTGCTGCGGCGGGAAGGGACCCTGTGGCTGCCCAGGCTGCCCCTCCACTGCGGGGGAGGGAGGCTGTCCCCTTGTCCCACCAGGGCTGACCCACGTGCTGCAGGCTGGGCGCTCGTGGAGGCAGGACTCCAGCGCCAGCGCCTGAGCCATGGGGAGTTGAAGGGGGGGGGAGAGTCGGTGCCATGTCGAGAGCCATCGCCAGGGCCCCGCTCTGCAGAGCACCAGCCTCCGTGCCCAGTTCGGGGGGGGCGCGTGCTGGGCCCAGAAGCGCTGGCCATGGGGGTGGACACCTGGGTGTAGCCATAGGGGGCAGCGCTGGGAACGAGCAACGTGGCCTAGGGTCTCCACAGCAGCTAACACCTCTGGCCCAGCACCCAGCTGCTCAAGGAGGCCTCAGGTTATGCTGAGACTCGCACTCCTCTGAGGAGCCCCCTGCTTTGTGCAGCTCCAGCATCGCTGGTGCTCTGAAGGGGAGAGAAGCTGGCTGGTGCGGGGGAGGATGGTGCCAAGTCCCCAAGGAGGGAGCAGGACAGGGGAATCGGTGCCAGGGCCCAGAGGGGGTGACCGCTAGGGCTCCCTGTAAGCTGGGCGCTTGTGCGACCACTCAGGAGATATTCCAGCACCGCCCAGCTGATTAGCAGAGGCTTTGTTTCTTCTGGTGGTGCACATGCCTCGGTGCGTATAAAATTTATTCTGCACATGGATGGAAGCGATTAGAGGGAGCACTGGCGACTACTCAGACCAAGAGCAGGCAGCAGAGTCTCCCCTGCCCCCTGCCCCCAGATGGCAACAAGGAGGTGCGGGTGGCTGGCCAGGCGACGTGTTAACCGCCCCCTCGTGTGTCCTTGGAACACGGCCCCTCAGATGTGAAATTGGAAACTGGGCGCCGCGGGGCAAGGAGGCTGCTGTGGAAATACCAGGGGGACAGAAGGGCTTTTGTTCTGCCTGGGCCCTGCTCGGGACACCCGGGATCTCGCGCTCCCTCTTTGCCGGAGGCTGACGAGCTCCCTTGCGTCTCCTCCTCCCTGCAGCGCACGGTGCAGAAGAACGCCAAGTACATCTGCCTGGCCAACAAAGACTGCCCTGTGGACAAGAGGAGGAGGAACCGGTGCCAGTTCTGTCGTTTCCAGAAGTGCCTCGCCGTGGGCATGGTCAAAGAAGGTACACGGAGCACCAGGCGTGGCGAGGCTTCCTCTGCAGCGGGCTAGGCAGGGCTGGGGAGAATCCAGTGGGAGGGGGGCGAGGCCAGCAGCCCAGGCTGGAGAGTATCACAGGGTCTGGGGGCCCCCCTGAGAAATGCCTTGTGTGCTTGGCAGCTGAGCCCTGACGCCTGCCCTCTGCTCTGCCTGCACCTTTCTGCTGCATTCCCAGGTGCTTTGGTTCTGCTTTTCCAAGCCGCCTTGTGCTGTTTGCTTGCAGCTCCCGCCAGTCTCGTGTTCCCCTCAAATGCTCGCTGGCCTTGCTGTGGCTTTGATTCCCGGAAGGATCCAGACCAGGATTGGGCGGGGGGAAGGAAAATGGGGCCAGAATCACGTAAGGAAGACAGTAGCTGTCCTTGTGAGGCTCGGATGGTGCTTTGGTTCTGCTTTTCCAAGCCGCCTTGTGCTGTTTGCTTGCAGCTCCCGCCAGTCTCGTGTTCCCCTCAAATGCTCGCTGGCCTTGCTGTGGCTTTGATTCCCGGAAGGATCCAGACCAGGATTGGGCGGGGGGAAGGAAAATGGGGCCAGAATCACGTAAGGAAGACAGTAGCTGTCCTTGTGAGGCTCGGATTTGAGTGGGCGGAAACACTTGTTCTGGGATCAAAATTGTGAAAGATTTTGCCCTGTCCAGCCCTGCCCCCAGGTCCCGTGCGGGCCTGCAGCTGATCCATGGCCCTGTGTGTTTTTGCAGCCCCACACCACCAGGTCGGGCTTCGCAAGGAGCTGCCCCCACCCTGCCGGGGCTCTTCCCTCTCCCCAATGCCTGCTTTCTCTCAGCGGCGCTCTCCTCTCGGGGCTGGCGGTAGCGAGGTCGCGTTGCTTTTGCCAGCACTTGACTTGCTGGGGCAGCTTATCTGTGGGGTGAGGAGGCAGCCTGGTGCCATGCTGGAGGGTCAAGCGCCGCTCGGACAGGAACGTCCAGCCGGGTTTGCTCTGGAGGCCTAGAGGGGAGAGGTCTGTGCCGGGACTCAGCCCCACGTACCCGTTTCCTCTGCCTGAGCCGTGTCCTCCTTCTCTCCCCAGTGGTGCGGACGGACAGCCTGAAGGGGCGCCGAGGCCGGCTCCCATCCAAACCCAAGCAGGCCCCAGACGCCTCCCCCGTCAGCCTCATCACGTCGCTTGTCAGAGCGCATATCGATTCCGTACCCAGTGCCACCAAGCTGGACTATTCCAAGGTACCCGCCGCTCGCAGTCGGGGTCAGAGTCCTGGGGCCCCTGGGAAGGAGCTCGGTGGAGCTTAAGGGGCGCAGGCATGGGAACAGGGGGCAGCTAGAGAAGAGATCCTGGAGCCCTCACCATCAGGGTGCAAGCTTTGGCACTACACGAACAGGGCAGCATGGTCTGCTGGTAACAGTGCAGAGCAGGCCAGTGTCTCTTCCCAGCTCCGGAAAGGTAGCGTCCTCCAGTGGTTAGAGAACTAGAAAGCAGGACTCCGGGGTTCGTTCCCCAGCCGGAGGAGGGGGTGAGCTAGTGCAGAGTGCAGGGACGCTGGACTCTTGCTTGGTTCTGACCTCGGCACTGAAATGTCATCCAGCCTGGAGGCTCCGGGTGCAATCCAACTCCTTACAGCCAGGGAGCTCTGTGACCTTCAGAAATAGGTTAACAATTAACCTCCCCCACATCCCTGCGAGTTAGGGGCTATCTCCATTCACTATATGGGGAAACTGAGGCACAAATTGCCCAACGTTGCAAAGTAAGTCAGCAGCAGACCGCCTCAGGGGGCCTGACCCCCAGACCCTTCCCCTTGAAGCACTAGACACTCCTTCGTGCAGCCACGTTGCCAGTGCCAGGCAGTGGAAAACGCCTCCACAGGGATGGTTTCTGCTCTGGCAGCGCAGTACAAGGGGAGCTAACCCTGCCCTGCCCGTGTGCCCTCTAGTTCCAGGAGTCTGTCTCCTCCCAGTTCGAGAAGGAGGACTGCGTGGACGTGCAGCAGTTCTACGACCTGCTCACCGGCTCCATGGACGTGATCCGCAAGTGGGCGGAGAAGATCCAAGGGTTCCCGGAGCTCCCCAAGGAGGATCAGGACTTGCTGCTGGAATCTGCCTTCCTGGAGCTCTTTATTCTTCGGCTGGCCTACAGGTAACGCCCCCCTGCTTGGCACCCCACCGTGGCCCAGAGCTAGGGGGTCGGGGAGCTCCCCGGAAGACTCAGAAGGGGATGTGGCAGCCTGGGTCGGTGGCTAGGGCAGGGAGATCAGGTTCTGCCCTTGGCGCTGCAGGACTTGGAGCAAACCCGTCTGCTGTTGGTTTCAAAGGAGGCTGTGGCCGAGTCAGCCCCTCAACTCGTCCAGGCTGCGCCCTGCAGGGCCCATTCATGTGGGGCAGCCGGGCTGGAGCCTGTGGTCCCAGACCTGCTGCTTAGCCCCTGGCCCTCGTGCAGGGTGAGACGGGCCAGGATCCTAGCGGGATCCCTGGTGCCCCATTCGGCTCAGGCTGGTTCCACTCTGGTTCCTGCTCCGACAGTCTCCTTAGCTCCCTCCTGCTCCCGGTCGGCTGCCGGCAGCGCCCTTGGCCTGCCCTCCCTTCTCTCCTGACGGGCGGCTCTCCTCCTTCCCTCGCAGGTCCAAGCCGGAGGAAGGCAAGCTGATCTTCTGCAACGGGGTGGTGCTGCACCGCATGCAGTGTGTGCGGGGCTTCGGGGAGTGGATCGACTCCATCCTCGAGTTCTCCCAGAGCCTGCACCGCATGAGCATTGACGTCCCCTCCTTCTCCTGCCTCGCCGCGCTCGTCATCATCACAGGTAGGGGCGGCTCGGCACCGTCCTGCCGCGCGGGGGCGGGCGGAGAGGGGGCGGAGCTGGTCACTGGGAGGGAGCCGAAGGGTCTGAGCCCATCTCCGACCCCAGCTCCCCTCTGGCCGTGGGCCTCCCCGAGCGGGAGGGCTCGTCTGTAGAAGGCGCGGGAGCCTCAGGCGAGCCGGTTTCCTCCGGCTGCTGGCTTCGGCCGTCCTCAGCAATGACTCGCCAGATCAGCTCCTTAGAGGGACCTGATCTCCTAAGCGCCCAGAACCAGGCCCCGGGAAGGTCTCCAGGGGTGGGCCCCCCGGATCGCTGGGCCTCTGCCTTCCTGCAGCCCCCAGAGGCGACCGGCAGGGGGGACTGAAGCTGTGCTGGTCTGGTTTTTAACCAGGTTTCCCTCTTATACTCCGGCCCTTTTCCCAGCATGCTTTGCCATAGCTTCTACTTCCCTGGGGCCTGCTGAGAACTACCCTTCCCAGAATGCCTTGCGGGGGAGGGTTTGTGGACGAGGGTGCAGAACAGGCCCTGTTACCCTCAGCCAGTGGATGAGTCTGAGCAGGAGGGAGCCGGGGGGGGGGCAGTTCAGGAGCCTGCTTTGCCATGAACCGGCGGTGCCGGCAGCGCCCGGGAGCAAGGCAGGGTGGGCCTGACCGCTCCCCTCCCCCTTTCCAGACCGGCACGGGCTGAAGGACCCCAAGAAAGTGGAGGATCTCCAGAACCGAATCATCAGCTGCCTTAAGGACCACGTGACGTCCACCACGAGCGAGCCCACCCGGCCCAGCTGCCTCTCCAAACTGCTGGGCAAGCTGCCCGAGCTGCGCACCCTCTGCACCCAGGGCCTGCAGCGCATCTTCTACCTGAAGCTGGAGGACCTGGTCCCGCCCCCTCCCATCGTGGACAAAATCTTCATGGACACGTTGCCCTTCTGAGGGGGAGCAGCCCCCGGGACCCGTGAGGCCCCTGCCGTGGAGAGCAGCGCGCTCACCCGCTTGATACCGGGGGGAGTTGGACAGACACGTCTCCCCCAGCGTGGAGTGGGAGGGGCCATCAGAGGAGCATTTCCAGAGACGGGGGGGCGAGCCCCACTGCCAGCTGGGATCATGGGGACTCGCCGGATGCGGGGAGAGCCCTTCACCCCTCCCGCTCCCCCGGAGCCTGGCAGCTGGCCCTCGCTCGGCCTCCGCCTCCCGTACCAAACCCGAGGATCATGACGCATTTCTCTGTGGAGAACTCCAATGTGCCTTTAAGGTGATGCACTCAGACGCACAATATCCCTGGGCCTGCGACCCCCAGCCCTGGCTCTCTACCCGCCGCTTGCTGCACCACGCCGGGGAGGGAGAGCAGGTCCTGAGACGTGGGCAGGGGCTGGCTTTCCCACCCCTTGTCAGGGCGGGTATGCGGAGATCTGGCCTGCTGCATCCAGGCTTCTCCGTCCCCCGCTGCCGGAACCAACCCTTTCCAGACCCTCCCGCCGGCTGTTGGCCATACTTGTGCTTTTGCGATGCTGGCCCAGGGAGCAACGGACCCGGCCCCATCCGCGTGGCGCACAGGAGGTTTTGTGCCGGTGGGCTGCAGAGACCTCTCTTTGTAAAAACACAAGCTGTAAATAGAGGGGGCTTCGACCTTGTAAATACAGAGAACTGCAGAGGCAGCAAGAGACGAGAAGAGGCTCTGGGAAGGCCGGGCGGGATTTTTATATCGCCTGACAACCACGTGGCTTTCTGTGCCTGGGAAGGCTTTCCCTCCTGGCTGGGCCTTTCCCTGTATATAAACTTGTATGTAAAACACAAAAAATCAACATTTATATTTGTGTATTTTTGGGGGATTTACCATATGTGACTTTTTTTCTGATTTAATATATATTTAATATATTGAAATAAAAAACATGCTGGTGGCTGTTACTCTCTGCTTCCGCCGGTGCTCCGGCTGGCTGTGGGGATCACAGAGGCGCTAGCTGGTTTGGGAGAGCGCCTGCAGGCTGCGGCCCCCTTGCATTAGGCTGAGTGCGAACGGAGTTCATGAGACAGACCTTGTCTCTTGGGGAGCAGGATGGCGCCTTGCAGAGGTGGGCGTGTCTAGCAGGTGCCACCCCTTTCTCGGGGTCTGCTGAGCAGGTACTGAGCCAAGTGGGGGGACGTGTCCCCAATCCCCATTCTTGGGGACATAGCAGGACTAGTGGGCATCTGTCCCATGTTTTAAAGCGCACAGTCAACCTGTGGAACTCCTTGCCTGAGGAGGTTGTGAAGGCTAGGACTATAACAGGGTTTAAAAGAGAACTAGATAAAGTCATGGAGGTTAAGTCCCTTAATGGCTATTAGCCAGGATGGGTAAGGACTGGTGTCCCCAGCCTGTTTGTCAGAGGGTGGAGATGGATGGCAGGAGAGAGATGGCTTGATCAGTACCTATTTGGTTCACTTCCTCTGGGGCACCTGGCATTGGCCACTGTCGGCAGACAGGCTATTGGGCTGCATGGACCTTTGGTCTGACCCAGTCTGGCCGTTCTTATGACCTCCTGACGTCCCAGCTGCTCCGGTGCCTGACAAGTGGAGATTTATGTCCAGCCCTGACCTGAACGGTGTCTCTGGCTGGGCACACAGGTGGCCCCGATCGGCTCTTGGCAGGAGCTGGGAGCCCATCTCCGTCCCGAGCTTCTGGCCTTTGCAGACAGCACCGTCTCCGGCGGGTGGCTGGGGATGATGGAGGGACGACAGATGCTGCCCTGGCTGATGGCCTGGTGAAGTCGCTCCATCGGCAGCTCCCTGGTGCAAATGCAAAGGGGGCCTGGCCCCTTGTGAGGCTCGGTTCAGGCACTCACGGCCCTGCCCCCCTCCCTCTATCACCTGCCCTGGAGACTGAAGCCCCATGTTTTGCCCCCAGACAGCCCTGCCCACGTGCCTCAAACCTCCTCTGCTTGGCGTTCAGTCCCCACAGCCCTTTGGTCCCAGACGGGCTGGTGGTGGGGCCAGGCTGGCTGAGAACCCTCGGGATTCGTTCCACTCAACAGCAGTGACCCGCAGGCTGCCCGGCCCACCGGCGAGTTACCGAGCCCCGGAGAAGCCGGCCTGGGGATCAGCTGGCACCTATGGCCCTTCACCTGCCTTGGCTCGTGACGCAGGCCTGAGCACCCGCCCGTAGCCTGCCGCCTCTGGCGAGCAGCACCTGCGTTTGCAGCCTCTTCTCTGGCTCCCTGCGCTGAATGGTGCTGCCCTGGCTCCGGAGAGCCCGATGAATCACGGACACAAAAATAAACGGAATGCGGAGCCGCATGTACCAGACCAGGGCGCCGGGCAAGGCCTCCCGACGGGGCCCTGGCTCAACCCTGCTGCTGGGCCGAGGCTTCCATGCAACCCGGCTCTGTCCCGAACAATCCCCCGCCCTGCCAAGGGGCTCTGGTTTCAACTCCTGCTGGGCTGTAGGAACAGCTTAGACAGTAGGATTTGCACGTTGCGTCCATGTGGAAACTCTGATGCCCTTGGACAGTAACTAATACCCTCCGGGCGGCTGTGGCGGGCTCGGCACCTGTCTCGCTGTTGATTTGTTCTCCCTGAAATAGCCTGGAATCGTGCTCTCCCCGCGCGCTCCAGCTGCGATGATTCCCCCTCTGGCAGGGACTCAAAGGCCAGGCTTGGCCAGCTCGCCCAAAGGCGGGCGGCGGAGAGCAGGGAGGCGGAGGCCGGAGCCTGGCTGCAGCAGGACCGGATGTGCGGGCTCCTCGCAGAGGCCTGAGGAGCCGCGGATGCTGGAGCCAGAGCGGTTTGGTCAGCAAACGCCCACAGGCAGAGAGCAGCCCAAGCCTGAAGCACGAAAATTAGTTGTCGGTGCCACCTGGGCTGCAAACGTGCTGAGCCCTCCCCCGTGCCGAATGAAGGCACCGGTCTAGAAATTGGGGCCCAGAATGAGCAGCCTGCCTCCCCCCGTGGGGGTGGCGGGCACGTCGGCGCCCGTGTCCAGCTTTGGGCACAGTGAATGCGAGCGGCCCTGGCAGTCTCCTCGCCCCCTTGGCCTGCCCACGCTGACTGCGACAGTTTGGCACCAGAGGACGGCCATGTGGGGCCGGTCGCCCTTAGCCCTCCCTGGCGGGGCCCCCTACACCGAATTCCCCAGGGCTGAGAGGCCAGGCCCTGTCCCAGGCCTGCGGAGAGCGACTGGCCTCTCCCTCTGTGCGTGTCAGCAGGGCGGCCCCCCGCCAACAGGCCGGCCCCGAGGGGCCGCTTCCCAGACAGAGGCGTTTGTAGGGCCCGTCAATGCCTTGTTTCATGAAGCTGGCCCTGCTGCGGCCGCTGGCGCAAATCCAGCTGCAAAACCCTCTGCAGGCCGGGGGAGAACATCCGTTTGGAACCCAGCCCCCTGGGAGTTGGGGAGCTCGGGGTGATGGTGCTGGGGGGAGGTGAGGCAGTTTTGGAGCCATCGTCTGCCGCCCCCGTCAACCTGCTGCGCTTTCCTGCCTCTCCAGGGAGACGCTTGTTGCTCCGCCTTGGTTCTCCGCTCCTCTTAGAAACAGGCTTGTGCTGCGCTCGGCAGCAGGGGCAGGTCTCCAGCTCAGGGCTGGCGGCCTTTCACCCACCCACCCAGGTGCCTCAGTTCTTCACACAGCCCATAGTCAACCTGTGGAACTCCTTGCCTGAGGAGGCTGTGAAGGCTAGGTCTGTAACAGGGTTTAAAAGAGAACTAGATACATTCATGGCGGTTAAGTCCATCAATGGCTATTAGCCAGGATGGGTAGGAATGGTGTCCCCAGCCTCTGTGTGTCAGAGGGTGGAGATGGATGGCAGGAGCGAGATCGCTTATGTGTTAGCTTGTGCTCATTTGCGCTGGAGTCTGGCTGGGCTGTGCCGTCCCTCGGGAGCCCATGGGGCCCGAGTGCTGCCCCCAGGCTGGGTGTGTGCATGACGAGGCTTCGCTCCTTGGGTTGCCTGGGGCTTTGTGTGTTACCTTCCTGCTGCACCAGTGGTATTTTTCACCCACCCGCCCCCTCTCTGCCCTAGCTGCAACACTAGACAGGGCTGCATCTCCGTCCTGGGCGAGCTGTTCCCTTGGGGCGTTGCTGTGGGACGGTTAAACAGCAGCCCTGTCCCACTCCAGAGGTGGCATCTCTCTAGAGCCATGGAACGCCCCTCCCCCCCCCACACTTCAGGGGTGAAGAGTGCTGATCCAGCAGCATCGTGTCATTCCCGGCACGGCCACTAGCAGGGCAGTAATGGCCCCTTTGGAGGGTGAGGCCTGTGCCAATGGCCTGAGGCACCCCAGTGCTTGGGGCCCGCCGGGGAGTTTCCTGGGCATGGAATTTTCCATCTGAATCCGACGGCTGCCTCTTTGAGGCTTCTGCAGAACAGCCTGGGGGGAATAACCCAGCCGGGCAAGTCTGCGCCATGCTAGGGCCCTTCAAGGTCTGTGCTCTTGTGGGCATCTCCTTCCCTGGGCATGGAGGAGGAGGAGGCACTGGTGCCCCGGGCTCGGGGAGCCCTTAAAGGGAGCAGGGCCCTGGCTTTAGACGTGCTTGAGCAGGAACAGCAGCTGTCTACGCAACAGGACAAAGGGTTCTCCAGCTGAGAACAGAGCCTGGCTGGTGACAGAGCCGGGGCCTAGGACTCAGCACTCGGAGGTCTAGGGCAGGCTTGGGGGGAGGAGCGGGGTGTAGTGGGTCAGACTCGGGGCTGGGAGCCAGGATGCCTGGGGTCTGTTTCTAGCTTTACATGGATTTTCGCTGTCCGCTTGGTCGAGTCTCTGTACCCGCTTCCCCACGGAGGATGGGTGGGTTGTACCCCCTCCGCCTCCCAGGGGGTACTTACCCCGTGCGCTGAGGTCGCGGGGTGTAAGCCGGCCGGCGGGAATGGAGGCCAAGTGCTGACGAGCTCTGCCTCGTGGCCCTGAGCCTCGGGGTGAAGCAGCTGCTGGGTGGCCCCGGGTGGCCCAGCAGGGCGAAGAGGAAAGGGGAGGTGTACCCCCCCACACACACACTCGTACTGCGCTGGAGTGGAAGCAGCCCAGGCTAGGGGATCTTTGCACCCGGGCTCGGCTCTCTGCTTCCCCCCCCAAATAGGCAGGGCTGGGGCTGGTGTCGTTGCTGCTAGGCCAGCCCGAAGGAAATGGAGCGACGGCGTTTTGCCCCTTTCCGGGGGAGATCTTGGCGCGCAGACACCCAGGGTAGCCCTAGAGAGGCGCCGCTGGCTGCAAGGCCGTTCCTGCACCTCTTCCCCCAGCTTTCTGGGAGCAGCAGCCGGCCCATGACCCTCAATCGTCCCAGCAGGCCTATGGCTGGGGGGCCTGTTTGTAACACACACGTTCCGAGAGCGTTTCACAAAGGCTCGCGTTGGAAGGCCCGGTGCATTCTGGGTTGGTGCAGCGCCTGGCACTAGTGTGTCGGAGACACGACCATAGTGCACCAAGTGAATAACGTACACACAAGGGCCCTGGGAACAGCCGCCTTTCTCACAGCCGGGAATGCACCACGGACCCATGGCACGTCCATGGCTAGCTGGGCATGGAACCCAGGCCTCCTGCTTTCCAGGCCTGTGTCTCATCTGCCCACTGCCGAATGATAAGCGCCCCGTGGGTTACAGCTTGATCTGTCGTGCCAGCGTCCTTACAGGCTCTTCTGGCCTCGGAGCGGTGGCTCTGACTTGACAGCAGCCAGGCTGGGGTGCAGGGAGATGATGGGACTCCCCTAAGGCTGTGCCGGTGGAGAACCCAAAAGTTCTGGCTGCCAGAGCGCCGGGCCAACCCCTCGAAATGACAGCCAGTATTGCCAGGCTCAATGAAACCCCAGAGCAGCGCTGTCCTTTAACGTGGAGCACAGCTCTGGGAAACCAGCATGTTTCTAGGGGTGGTGCACATCTGTGCATCTCAGCGCACAACATTTATTCCACACATAGATGGGGAAAATATTAGAGGGGACAT